ACTCTTCTGTCCCCCCACTCTTCTGTCCCCCCACTCTTCTGTCCCCCTCCAATGTCCTCTGTTGACCAGTTGATAACCTAGCTATCCCACTGATCTCGAGTATCAGGAATTATCACAAGCTACATTACACTGTCAGTCAAAGTACAAGCCTTTTCCTTGAGAGTTTGTTCATACACTAATACCACATAGTCAGGGTCGACTGTCTAGTTATCACCCATTATGTACTATCTCCCTTCATTTTAAATTTTTAATGGGGCCTTCCAGCAATTCACCATTAACAGGTTAATAGCAGACTGGTGGTCATCACCCATTCACATTGCACTGCATATTCTGTTATTACGATATTCATGACTAGTTTTGGGCACTAGGTTTGTACAGATTTGACGTAGCGCTGCTTATAATGTTCTTTTAAAAGCAAATAGCCACTGGAGAGGACAACCTAACCATGTGATGAAACCTGTCGGTCAAAGTAACAACTAGAGGAACCAGATGTGGGCTAAAGCAAGACCCCCACCACCTTCTGAAGGCCAACTAGTGACGGACAATAAATACTGGCCGGCCAATGATGCCAGTGTCCCTTAAAAGATGATGATTTTTGGAATTATAACTATCTTAACCTATGCCTGTGAAAATTTGACTATTTGAGTTGATTTATCAGTTTCCAAACATCAGAATTGCAGCCTAGTTAGTGTTGGGAAAGGGGATGATGAAACTGCCTCCCTGCTCGAGGTCTGGCACAGACTGGCAGAGATTTGTAGGAGTTGGCAAGTTTACAGTTTGAGATTTGTTATGATGCCAGACTGTTGAATTGCCCTGTTAAATGGTTCCTGATGTTTCATTTCCTGTGATGTGTTCGCATTTTTATTGTAGTTGGCTTCTGCCCCTCCTGATATTGAAGGAGGCCTTTTGGTTCATCGAATCTATATGAGCTGTCTAGATAGCATGTCAGTCTTATTGTCACACCCTGTCCCTGCAGCCCTGCAAGTATATTTCCCTCAATTACCCGTCCCATTTTTTTTTTGAAATCCTTGATCGTCTCCGTTTCACCACCCTCATAGATGGAGAGTTCCAGATCATTAACACACACTGGATAGAAAATGTCTCCCTCATAGCAGTTCCTCCCTCAACCCACCACCCTACATTACTTGCCATGAATCTTCAATCTGGTGCCCCCTAGTTCATATACCACCAGCAAATGAGAACAATTTTTCCTTGTCTACATTATCCTGGTATAATCTTGTACATCTCTATTAAATGCTCCTTAATCTCCTTTGCTCTAGGGAGAACACCTTTTCAGAACCGTAGAATCCCTACAGTGTGGAAGGAGGCCATTCAGTCCATTGAGTCCACACCGACCATCCCACCCAAACCCAGCCGCCTACCGTATCCCGTAAGCCCACATTTACCATGGGCTATCCACCTAGTTGACATGTCCCTGAACACTATGGGCAATTTCAGCATGACCAATCCACAGAATCTGCACATTTTTGGACTGTGGGAGGAAACTGGAGCACCCGGAGGAAACCCGTAGGGAGAATGTGCAAACTCCACACTGAAAGTCGCTTGAGGCTGGAATCAAACCTAGGTTCCTGGTGCTGTGAGGAATCTGTGCTAACCACTGAGCTGCCATTCTGTCCTTTTTCAATCTATTGGCTTGCACAGATTTCTACCTTGCTCCACTACCATTACCATAGTGTCGACTCATTGCCATTCCTTTTCATGCAGTTTGCGATGTAAAGAAATTGTAAACAATGTTTTAAAAATGGGAGTTTGTACTTGTTTTATTTGAATGATTTTTTCAACAAGCTTGTGAATGGTAATGATCTGGTGCTGTGCACTCAGTTCTTTCCCATTGAAATCAAGTGAGCTTTCTATTCCCATTGGAGTAAAACCCCTTGAGAGATTTAGTTGACTGTTTTCCGTTGCTCTCCTTACACTTGAGAGGATGAGTTCAGTCTCCCTGATGCGAAAGGGGGAAAGGATAAATTTCTGCACGCAGCAGTGATCTTTATGAAGACATTGCTTACCATTTGTCGAGTTAAACTCCATTAATCTAATAGCTGAGCTCATTTTGAGCCTCTGACCCTCCTGGCAGCCTGTGTTTCCTTTGTTACTCTAACTACTTCATTCTGTGCCAGGAATGATTTGCTACAGTCAGCAAATTCTCAGTTCAAGAGTATTTAGATTTAGACTTTTTTTTTTGTTTGATTCCCAAACTCTTTTTCTGAAGTTAATCTTACAATTCTGGGTGATTAGGTGATCTTCATTAGGGAAGAAAAAGCCATCTTGGTGCGGGCTCAATGGTGCTATGGACATAAGGCCTAGGCAGAGTGGTACCATGGCAAGAAATTTCTCTAAACGTGCAGTCTGGAGAGACCAAGAAAGAATATCAGAATAAAACTTAAGAATAATATGCAACAGCTGTATCACACCAACCCTTTGACTGCCCCTCCCTCCCCACCAGAAACTAAAGGGGTAGATGGTGGAATAGAAATTTGATGTGGGAGGTTGCATGCACAAACTGGATGGTGTACTGTCGGCCACAGCTAATATTCAGCTCCATTTTCTTCTGTAGATTGGAATATGAAGAGGGTTTCAAAATGGGAGGCTATAGTGTCATGTCCTGTTTAACAATGCCACCTAAGATGAGTTTATCTTCCAAGTATACATCAAATTAGATGGTCTTTCACCCTCTGGCTTGAAGCAGGGTTTGTAAATGGTGGTGTGTGGCCTGTCCACCACCTATTTGCCTGTATGCATCCTACCCACCTGCACATTTGCCTATCACCCAACGGCTCCAATGTGTCTCCCATTTTAGGAGAATTCGTTGGGACGTTGTGACCCACTGACCTGTGCATATTGATGCCCTTAAAGTGGCCAGTTAGAGGTTCGTGACGTGTTAAATGGTGGCAGGCAGCAGCAATCAGTGTAGACTTGCTTCCTTTGGTGGTGAGGGAGTCCCTGGTGTCTGAGGAATCCTGCCCCACATGTTGAGCATAGAGGGTAAACAGTGAGTCTTGTGGCCCCCTTGATTTTATGTCCATTAGAATTAGCAGACACTTTGCATGAGGTTTGTAAACATGTATGAGCACCCTCAGATGGTGGGAGTGCGGTTTCTTCATATCCTCCAGTCTAATATTAAAGAGGCCCAAAAGGCTGGGTGCCAAGGTTTGGTTCCATCTGAGATGGAGAAAGGAATTGGTATAAAACCATCAGACTTTCTGCAACACGTGTTCCCTGGGACTGGAGGAGTACAGAGTTCCTTTTTACACGCAGTCAATTGTAACACAAATTCTCTCATGGTTTTGAAATACTTTCCAGATGCTTGGGATCAATCTCAGACCCAAATCTACTTGGTAAGTGCATTGACATTAAAACCTGCCAGAATAGTAAGAATGTTAATTTTTGCATACGAACTAGCTGAGTAGTAACAGACATTAATAACAAGGCTTGGAGGATTGGGAGGGAAAGTAACCAGAGTGTTCTGTTGTAATGAAATATGTTTTCAAAACAGTAAAAATGTTGCTGTTTTGCATCTTGAGCTCCCTTTCAGAAATAGGATCCAGGTTTCTTATGTCAAAATACAATTGCTCAATGAAATAATTATTATCCTTGTTTTAGCTGCTTGTTGGTTACAGTCCATAGATGATGCAGGTCTGTTTATGGAAGCTACCAAGTCGAGAGCTGGAATACCATTAATGTCAACACTGCCTTTCACTTGTGATGTAAACATGTATAATTTTCAATGTTATTCAGTATTAGTTTGTGTTTCTGCACTTTTTTGCGTGTCTGAAGTTAATTATTAACTTGCAATTATTTCTCTAACCATGGCAATTTCTTTCAAAAGCTGTTTTGAAGCCTGGCTGTAGAGTGAATGGCTTTTGTGCTTTGATGGACCTTTGTTTATTTTAGATTATTTGTGATACAGCAAGAGCCTTAAAGGTTTGCTCAAGGGTTCTGAACTTATGACTACGGCCATATTAGTCTGAAAATGCCCTATCTCGTCTGATCTCAGAAGCTAAGCAGACTCAGGCCTGGTTAGTACTTGGATGGGCAACTACCTGGCAATACCAGGTGCAGTAGGCAAAAAAGTTCTGAACTTTGTCTTTTTTAAATATAAGGGAGACTTCAATAGCTAAGAAAGAATTTTAATTTCACTTTTGAGTTTGAATGGGGCAGTCCTGTGAGGTTCTTGGAGTAGGATGGCTATATAAAGCAGTTCTTCTGAGAGAGAAGATATTGTGAATTAGATTATCTTGGAGTGAAGAATTAGTGTTAGTCCTGGATCAGAAGTGCTGGGATTAAAAAAAAATCTAAGAGTACGTTGAGTATATTGAAGCTTAGGAGTGTGGTAGCTCCAGGAAGAAGCCATTACAGTTTCAGTCTAAAATCTGAGGTTACAAGTAATTTAAACCTAACAAGTTAGAAGGTACAGGGGCTCTGTTGTGAGTGTTACACAAGTATCGTTTTGGGAATTGTGCTGGAGGTATATTACGCGAAATCTGTTTTGTTTCCTTTCAGTTCATAAAGGAATGTTTTGGGATTAATGGGATAATACTTTTGTTGTCTGTTTAAGAATCTTTGAATTCGTATAATAAATTTGGATTATTCTATTTTATCAATTTATTGTACTAAACTTCATTTGTTAAAGCAAAATCTATAGCATTGTGTGCTTATGTTTCAGTGAGAGACCAGTTTGTTAAAATCAAAACAAATAAAAATAGGATCTGTCAAGCCAGGTTCCTGTCTGGAATCTGAGCTGTCTGGTAATAACATCAGCTGGGATCATGATACACTGCTCTGACCGGTATAGTACCGCATCAGCCTATTTGGTTTTTCACTAACAAAGTATTTCCCCTCTGCACTCAGGGCTGGAGGTTGCATGGCTCTTCCTGCTATTTTGTGGGTGAGGAATCAGTGACCTTCGACCAGGCCTTGAAGAAATGCACAGGACAAAGGTCGACCCTCGTGACGATTCTGAACAGGTACATGAGAACCCTGTATTCACACAAAACTGAGGGCGAACAGCTTGGACCTTGCTGCTCTGAACGATTGCAGCACCAAATAGATAGATCAGTGTTGCCAGGGCCTCTGTGCATTCCTGCTTTCAATCACTCTGCCATCAGTGCCTGTGCCTTCGGCTGCCTAAGCCCCAACCTCTGGAATTCCCTCTTTACATCTGTATATTTCTCGACCTCATTTAACCTCATTTAAGGCACTCCTCAAAATGTATCTTTTTTTAACCAAACTTTAGGTCATCTAACTCACAGATCATCTCATATGGCTTGGCGTCATACATTATTTAATTCTACTCTTGTGAAGCTCCTTGAAAATGCGTTCTATAAACATAAGTTGTTATTTGCAAATAGCCTATTTGTGCCTTCCTGCCATGTGCACCACATTGGGATCAGTCTCTCTCAGGAGCTCTTTAGGTCATGTAGCATGCTGAGGGACTCCTTCTCTACATTGTATAGTACTCCAGTTTATATAATGCCTTTATCATAGTGCAACATCTTGAACAAAATTTGTATGGCTTTAACAAAATTTGATGTCATGTCACATTAAGGGATTGGACAGGTGACCAAAATGTTGGTGGTACAAGTAGCTTTGAAGGAGCATTGTAAAAGGAGAAGAGGAGAGGGGAGGAGAGATTTAGAGCCCACGGAATGTGCACAAAGCCAAGTTTGGAGTACTGCAGAGATCTTGGAGCTGAAATAGGTTACGAGCCCAGGGAGGGGCAAGGCTATCGTGGCAAGGATGAGATTTTACAATTGAGGCATTGTTTACCATTGTTGCCTCAACAGTGCATCTCGGACCCAATCCCATAGTGTAAACAGATTCCAGCTCCTCTCTGAAAAATAAAAAAAGTGAAGGATGGCTGGACAGTGAGCTTCAAAATAAATTATAAAAGGATTTATAAAGGTACACATTGAGGACATGCTTCCACTAGCAGTTGAGACCACAGCAAGGTCCATACATATAAACTAGGCACTAATAAATCGATTGCAGACAAAAAAAACCTGAAGATGCTGGAATCCAAGGTAGACAAACAGGAGGCTGGAAGAAAACAGTAATCCAGGCAGCATCTGGAGGAAAGGAGCAGTCAATGTTTTGGGTATTACTCTTCTTCAGGACTGGATGTGAAGGTAGGGGGGAGCTTCAGATAAACAGAGGGGGTGTGGGGTGGTAGTGGAATGATGGTAATAGGTATGACCTGGTTAGTCAATGGGAGGGATAAAGCCAGTTGGTGGCTGGAAGGGAGGGTCAGAAGGTGGAATGGAAGGGAGAAGGTGGGGCTAGAAAGGGAGCCTGGGAGTTGCTGAGAAGGTTGTTTGAAATTGGAGAACTCAATTGTGAGTTCTCTGGGCTGTAGGGTGCTCAGGCAGAAGATAAGGTGTTGTTCTTCAAATTTGTGTTCCAAGTCACTGCGACACTGGAGGAGGCTGAGGACGGACATGTCGGAGGGGGAGTTGGCAGGGAGTTGAAATGGGCAGTGACTGTGTGGTTAGGTTGGCCGTTACAGCCCAGGTGAAGATGTTCCCCTAGTCTACGTCTGGTCTCACGACGTAGAGAAGACCACATTGGGAACACAGGATGCAATAGACCAGGTTGGAGGAGATACAGGTCAAGTTCTGTCTCTCTTGGAAGGACTGTTTAGGGCCTTGAATGGAGGTGAGGGAGGCGGTGTTTGTGTGTAGGCAGGTATTGCATCTTTTACGGTTACAGGGGAAGGTACCGGGCAGGTTAGAGTTGTTGATGGGGAGTGTGGCGCGAACTAAGGAGTGGCGAAGTCAATGGGCCTTGAGGAAGGCAGAGAGGGGTGGGAAGCGGAAGATGTTCCAGGTGGTGGGGTCTAATAAATTGATAGCTATAAGGATAGGCTGGGACTTTTTTCCCTGGAGTGGCGAAGGTTGAGTGGTGACCTTATAAAGGTTTATAAAATCACAAGGGGCATAGATAAGGTGAATATGAAAGGCCCTTTCCCCGGGATAGGGAGTCAAAAACTAGAGGGCATAGGTTTAAGGTGAGAGGGGTGAAGATATTAAAGGGACCAGAGGGGCATCTTTTTCGTGCAGAGGGTGATATATGTATGGAATGAGCTGTCAGAGGTAGATGCAGGTACAGTTACAACATTTAAAAGACATTTGGACAGGTACGTGAATAAGAAGAGTTGAGAAGGATATGGGCCAAACACAGGCAAATGAGACTAGTTTAGTTCGGGGAAACCTGGTCAGCATGGTCAAGTTGGACCAAAGGGTCTGTTTCCATGCTGTATGACTGTATGATAGGGAATTTCAGAAAATAGTTTAAAATGTTCAACTAGCTTATTCAAGGCATAACTGATTTGTATTTAATGGGAAACTGAATGAATGCACAGTGGAAAAAAAATTGAAGACTATATTGATGGAGTTAACTAATGGCAGAGTGGGTGGAAGTTGAAGGGGAGTGTTAAGACTGGAATGGCCTGGTTGGATTGAATGGCCTGTTTCTATGTTTTTAAGTTCTGTACAAGTCCAGCCCTCCTTTAAGCGGAATGGCAGTTTTCTCTTTCCCAAGTTGGTTATCTTTACACTACACCCATGTGTGAAATTACCGGGGTAAAACCGAGCTGTGGGTCCAGTGGAACATGAACTTCAATTTAAGAGATAGGAACTGCAGATGCTGGAGAATCTGAGATAACACGGTGTAGAGCTGGATGAACACAGCAGGCCAAGCAGCATCAGAGGAGCAGGAAGGCTGACGTTTCGGGCCTAGACCCTTCTTCATAAATGCTGCTTAAATGAATTTCTGAAGAAGGTTCTAGGC